ATACTTCATGCCGTTCCTTTCTGGCCTGTAGAGTTTCTAATGAGAAATCAGCTGACAGCCTTAAGGGAGCTCCTTTGTAGGTAAGAGATTGCTTTTCTCTTGCTGCCTTTAAGATTCTCTCTGTCTTGAATTTTTGGCCTTTTTTATTATGATGTGCCTGGGCATGGGCCTCTTTGGGTTCCTCTTGCTTGGGTCTCTCTGTGCCGCTTGAACTTGCATGACTTTTTCCTTCAAAAGGTTAGAGAAGTTTTCTGCCATTATTTCTCCAAACACATTATCCCTTCTGGCACTCTTATAATGGGAATATTGTTCCATTTCATGTTGTCCCAGGGCTCCCTTAAACTGCCCTCCTGTTTTCTCATTGTTTTTTCTTTTTGGCTCTCTGATTGAGTGATTTTTTTCTACTCTGTCTTCTAATTTGCTGATCTGATCCTGTTTCCTCTAATCTGCTGTTTATTCCTTCCAACGTTTTTTATTTTATTTCAACCATGTCATTCTTAATTTCCTTAATAGTTTCCATTTCTTTTCTCATGCTGTTGAGCATTCTTATGATCAGTATTCTGAACTCTATATCTGATAGATTGCTTTTCTCCATTTCATTTAGCTCTTCTTCTAGAGAATTCTTTTGTTCTTTCATTTGGGGCCTTTTTTTTGTCTCCCCATTTTGGCTGCCTGTTTGGATTTGTTTCTATGTATTAGATAGATCTGTTAGGGCTCCCAGTGTTTTGGATGGTCACTGGTGACAGCCAATGTCAGACGCTGTTTGTGACTGGCCTTGTGTACCGTTTGAAGCTTTCCACACTCCATAGCTTGCGGTTCCCTCTCCTGAGACTGGGGACTGGTTGAGTTTGGACAAGACCAAGATGTGCACCAAGGTCTGGTAAAATGAGTGTGAAATTACTCTGCCTTGCGCTGCCCTGGGCTGTCATGTTTTGCTCCAAATATGAATTAAATTTAACTTTAGGGCAAAGGGAATAAGAATCTATGTTTATATTACTTTTGCTAACTGAGGAAACCAAATGAGAAAGAAGGCAATGACATTAACTACTTTGCTTCTGACTTCTCTTTTCCTACATTTAACTTCATGCAAGTAGGAAGGTATTAAGCACACATTCTGCACTGTATGCTTTTATTCATCCACTACCTTGCCTTGTTTATTTTATGGCTATATGTTCTTAATTTTATAGAGCATTGAGACCGACCCACCCAAAATCAGTTTAAACGTGTGATAAATGTGTAAAACAACGTTTTCATGATGGATCCTAATTAGGTTAAGCAATATGACACCTCCTAGGCTCTTTCTCATTAACTAGAAATGTTATTGGAATGTGAAATACTTATAGCTGACTCAATGAGTAACTCTCACCTTCCGACGAGTTCTTGGGCAGCACTTTAATCTCTGCAGTAATTTAGAACATTTTAAAAATGCTCTATGAGGCATCTAGACCCAGGGCTTGGAAAGCCAGACCTTGGTGCACATCTTGGTCCTGTCCAAACTCAGCTAGCCACCCTGCTCCCCATCCCAGCTCCAGCAAAGGGAACCGCAAGCTATGGAGTGTGGAAAGCTTCAAACGGTACACAAGGCCAGTCACAAACAGCGTCTGACATTGGCTGTCACCAGTGACCATCCAAAACACTGGGAGCCCTAACAGATCTATCTAATACATAGAAACAAATCCAAACAGGCAGCCAAAATGGGGAGACAAAAAAAAGGCCCCAAATGAAAGAACAAAAGAATTCTCTAGAAGAAGAGCTAAATGAAATGGAGAAAAGCAATCTATCAGATATAGAGTTCAGAATACTGATCATAAGAATGCTCAACAGCATGAGAAAAGAAATGGAAACTATTAAGGAAATTAAGAATGACATGGTTGAAATAAAATAAAAAACGTTGGAAGGAATAAACAGCAGATTAGAGGAAACAGGATCAGATCAGCAAATTAGAAGACAGAGTAGAAAAAAATCACTCAATCAGAGAGCCAAAAAGAAAAAACAATGAGAAAACAGGAGGGCAGTTTAAGGGAGCCCTGGGACAACATGAAATGGAACAATATTCCCATTATAAGAGTGCCAGAAGGGATAATGTGTTTGGAGAAATAATGGCAGAAAACTTCTCTAACCTTTTGAAGGAAAAAGTCATGCAAGTTCAAGCGGCACAGAGAGACCCAAGCAAGAGGAACCCAAAGAGGCCCATGCCCAGGCACATCATAATAAAAAAGGCCAAAAATTCAAGACAGAGAGAATCTTAAAGGCAGCAAGAGAAAAGCAATCTCTTACCTACAAAGGAGCTCCCTTAAGGCTGTCAGCTGATTTCTCATTAGAAACTCTACAGGCCAGAAAGGAACGGCATGAAGTATTCAAGGTAATGCAAAACAAGGATCTGAAACCAAGACTACTCTATCCAGCAAGGCTATCATTCAAAATAGATGGTGGAATAAAGAGCTTTCCAGACAAAAAAGAAGACTAAAGGAGTTTATCAGGACCAAAACAGCATTGCAAGAAATGTTAAAGCGACTGCTATAATAAGAAGTTGAAGTAGAGAGAATGAGAAACAGGCATAAAGAAATAAAATAGCAATAGATAAGTACCTATCAATAATAACCCTAAATGTAAGTGGATTAAATGCTCCAATCAAAAGACATAGGGTAGCTGAATGGACAAAAATGCTGACCCAATTATATGCTGTCTACAAGAGACCCACATCAAAACACGACTCATACAGGCTGGGGAAAAAAGCAAACGTTCTTTTCTGAGGACTTTAAAGGACAGATCTACAGCAATACAGTCATAATAGGGTACTTTAACACCTCACTGACTTTACTGGATAGATCTTCCAGACAAAAAATCAAGCAGGAAATAGTGACTCTAAATGACACACTAGATCAGATGGATTTAATTGACATTTACCCCAAAGCTGCAGAATATACATTCTCCTCAAGGGCATGTGGGACATTCTCAAAGACAGCCCACATGTTAGACACAGAACAAGTCTCTACAAGTTCAAGAAGATTGAAATCATATCAAGCACCCTCTGGGACATTTACACCATGGAATACTATGCAGCTGTAAAAAACAAGGTTCCCTTACTCTATGAGACAGCATGGTGGGACTTAGAGAGTAATATGCTAGGCAAAAGAAGCCAGTCAGAGGGAGGCAAGTCCTACGTGATCTTTCTCATATGTGCAATCTAATGAACAAAATAAACTGATGAACAAAGTAGATCCAGAGATACAGAAGCATGGAGCAGACTGATGAGTCTCAGTGGGAAGGCAGGTGTGAGAGGGTGGATAGATATTAACCTAAGAACTTATATTCATATATGCATAACCCATGTATACAGACAATGATGTGGTAAAGGTCTTGGGGTAGGGGTGCAAGTGGGAGGGGATCAATGGAGGAAAAATGGGACATTTGTAATACTTTCAACAATAAAGATAAATTAAAATGAAATAAAATAAAATGTGGATTATATTCACCTGTATGAAATTAGCCAAGATATTAAAAAAAATACTGCCCTAGCAATGCCTGCGTATTGTCCTGATATGTCAAGGTTGTGGGTTTGATCCCCATCAGAGCACATACAAGAATCAACCAGAATCAACCACATAAGTGGAACAACAAATCAGGATCTCTATCTTTCCCTTTCTTTCTCTCCCTCTCCCCCTACACTTTCTCTCTCAGAATAAATAAATTTAAAAAAAAAACAAAACTTTATACTTTTCTAAGGGAACCAGGGAAAGCATGGTGATGCCTGGAACTGTCAGAATTGATGACAAAGAAATGAAATATAAGTGAAACAGCTGGAGTGGTTTAAGTTTTACTAAAGGATGCCAACTTAGTTTTACCATGTCATGAGTGGTTTAGCTGTACTTCATTATTTTTTTAGCGCTTTTGTCGTCCCTCCATGCATTATTTACATAAGCCAGTTATATATGTCTCTTGAAAGCTTCTCAAATTTGCACATATGTGTGTTCTTATAAATCCAGGTTCACTAGGAAAAGAACATTATAGCTTGAATTTTAAATTAGATACTCATTCGTGTGTGGCAATTATCAAAGCCAAACATTCATATATTTTGCCTTCTATAAATGAAATGTCCATGCTGCTGGTTATACAGTCCCCATTGTAAATGCATTAATAATGTTTCTATTTTGTTCCTATGCCTAAAGAATGTAGCAGTGGGCTTATTTTTCTGAATAAGGCTTCACTTCATTTATTTTCCAACAAACTCTATTAACCTCATGGAGAAAAATCACATTACTATATAATGAATATAGTATTTGGTTTTTATTAACACTAGGACCAAGAGCAAAAAAGAGCTACATAAATCATTTTATGAAAAATTAATGAAACCATTTAGAATTTATCAAATGTGTATTTGTGATCCAGAAATATACTGATCTTTTCAATACATAAGCCTTGTATATAAAATAAAATTCATCTTTTTTCATAAAATCATATATTATTTTACCATCTCTAATGTAGCAAGGAAGCAGTTATCATAGATATTATAAGCACAAGCTCTAGAGTGAGAACGCCTCCTCCACTACTTACCAGTTTTGTGATATTGGACAAATTATTGAGCATTCGCCTCAGTTTTTTTGTCTTCAAAATGGAAATAATATCTACGTCACAGAGTTAGTGTCAGGGTTAAAGACAGTACTATATGTAGTATATATTAAGCTTTTTGTACATACTAATCGTAAATTTTGGTGTCTGTATTTGGTTTTCCTAAAAGGAGAAGTGAAAGCTCATATTTTACAAGGTTATTTTTCCTATGGCCCATGTTACTTACTTCATTAATAACCAGTTATTCCATACTTGCTAATAGCAGAATATTTTTCTTTTAACATGATGTGAATCTATTTTTGAAAAGATTAAAATAATCTGAGTTTTTAAATTGTAAACATTTGTGAGATTATTAGAAGCACAACTTTCTTTCCGATGAGAAAAAGGAGTTTATACTGGGTAATACCAGATAATAAGTATTTCTTTCTCAGGTTCTTATGCAACAGGGCTATGATGCTGCTTGTGATATTTGGAGTCTGGGAGTCCTTTTTTACACAATGTTGGCTGGGTAAGAATCCTTATGTACTTTATAAAAATCCATAAAATTGTGTGTGTAATGTGAAATGTGGGTGCCTTGTAATATGTATGATTTGATGTAGAATGGGGATTTCTGGGAGTAGTAGTTTGGTCCATAAAATTCTTAAATAAACCTTGTTTATAAATATCACCTTGATTTTATCACTCAAAATAATTCACATCATCATTTGAATTTCACCTGTATATTTTCATCTAGAAAGAAGACAGATGAAAATAACCTTAAGGAAAATTCTATTAACATTTCAAAATATTGTATATTGTTTAACTTATAACATTGAAAAAACAAAAAGTAAGGTCTTTGTTGATGCATTATTCAAATATATAATTAAAAGAGTTTTCAATTGATACTGAATTTTTTTTTTTTAAGTACTTTTATTCTGGCTCTCCTCGCACTAGAGATTTAAGAAGATTGAACTTTATAACAAATCTAAATAGTAATGGAATATTTTAATTACAGAAACAAACACAGTTGCCTTCTCTTAAAAGTATAAAAACATACTTAAAAAAGTAACAAATGTGTTATGTTAATGTTGGCAATTCATAAGTGTTGTTTTACTGTTAATATTTTTGTTTAGGAGTAAAAATTTATGGCTATAGAAAAAGGCTGGATTTAACAAAACTTAATGCATAGAATGGAATTTTAAGCATTATAATACAATTATAATGTATTTAGTTTGACTTTATAGAGAAGGCATTTCGTATAATTGAAATATGCTCGATATAACAGAAGATTTATAAATATGAAGTCATCACGAAATTATTTACTGGCTTTGTGATAATTACATATGTCAGTGTATTCCATGCACTTTTAAATATAAACTTTTGCAAAATATTTAGTTATAGCCCAAAGTAAGTGCTAAAGTTAAGAATAGCTAAAGTTTTCACATGAACCATGGGATACCATTTCTGGATTGCTGCTTTGAAATATTTACTTTACGACTAAACAAAACATGAATGTTAGTGTATATATGTGTGTTTAATGTTATATCAACTTAATTGTTACATGAGGAATTAAGACATTAAGACGTTAAGACATATTTCCCATACTTTTTAAGTCTTTTCATTCCCAAATTTGAATACCATTTTCAGTTCCGCCTGTTAAAATCGTACAAAACTGATCACTTTTTGTCATTCTATAATTAATTTTTAAACTTTATACAATGTATTTGTATTCCTTTCCATGAATATTTATCCACATAATAATTTTAATGGCTATAGAGGGTTTTTTGTTATATTAATATAAATATTTAACTAACCCATTTTCATGGACATTAACTGGAATTATTGTTAATCTGTTTTCACTGGTAATATTTATAAAATGCTAATGAATAAAATTGAACCAATAAAATAAATTCATTTCTATGAACATATGAAATTAACAGTTTCCTCATAGTAGGTATATTTGATTTGCTGACTTATGCCTGGGAGAATACAAAATTTGCGTGTTTTAATCTGGCCTGATTTTAAGACTAGCTTTACATGAAAACCCACATTTATTTTACATGGATTAACTGATTAAAGGCAAAAAGATATTGGTATAGACAAGACTCTTCATTTTATTAAATAATTAATTAGGATTAAGTTCATTGTTTGAAGTATCCAATTTGATATGCACAGTGAAGGGAAATATTAAATGATATTCTAATTTACCATAATAAATATTTGTATGTAGTATTATGTTCATCACTTTCAATTAAATTTCATATGTATACTGGGCCCTTATGTCTATTAAAATATATTTTATTAATAGCTACACTCCATTTGCTAATGGCCCTAATGATACTCCTGAAGAGATACTGCTACGTATAGGCAATGGAAAGTTCTCTTTGAGTGGTGGAAACTGGGACAATATTTCAGATGGAGCAAAGGTATAAATTATAAATATGTTTGTTACATTAATGTTAAATTGCTGAAATCTTTAAGTTATAGCCTAGTCTATATTTGTAGAGTGCATGATCATGTTATATGTCAGTATTTATTTTTAAGTTAATTCACATGTATGTGTGGATTGAACAAAATAATGGCTCACTTTATTTTTTTTGGTCATGCTTCTGGCCAACATTCCTCTTTTATTAGTTTATATGTTTTCAGGGAATATAAACTAGTTTCAGTATTAACCAAAACTAAAAATGTAAATCTATTGAAGAAAATTGCATACTTAAGCCAATTAAATGTGCTGTCTGCATGTAGAGTGTTTTTTTCTTTAGCACAGATATTGACTATTGATTATATAGACAATTTTAATAATGTTAAATATTCTTAGAGAATATACAAACTTTTTATCAGTAACATCTAGATATTTATTATTGATGGCTTAGAGCTGTCCAATAGAAATATAATGTAAGCCACATATGGAATTTTAAAATTTCTAGTAGCCACATTAAGAAACAAAAATAAAATGGTGAAATTAATTTAGTAACAATAAATTTAACCTATCATATTTAAAATATTTTACCATTTAATCAACATAAAAATTGGTGAGATATTTTATAATATTTGTTCATTTTAAGTCTTTCAAAATTTGCTGTGCATTTTATTTTTACAGCTTATCTGAGTTTGGAGTACCCACATTTTAAAAGTGCTTAATAGCCACATGTAGCTAGTGGCTACTGTATTAGTACAGTTTCAAAGTAACTGACCCTATTTAACTTAGGGGAAAAAATTATCAAGCCTTGACTATGGATTGTTACATTTATAATTTAAAAATTTTAAGTTTTAAAACAAAAGCCCAAAGGTTATCATGTGGTTTATAGGAATCTGAAGCTTTTAAGCTGCATTTGAAGTAGAAAACATTTTAAGACAAAAGGAATTGCTTATGTTTCATATCTGCCAATGATAAAACCTAATTGTCTCAAGAACACTGGTAAATCTGTAGGGTATATTATGGAGTAAATCTCCTGATCGTTGTAGAATAAATAAGTCAGGAATGTGATTGTCAATACCTTTTAAACCTTAGAAAAACAGGGAAAGGATTGTGTTTGGATCTTATCCATAATAACAGAAGTATGTTGTGTGGTGTAGTAGAAGGAACACCTGATTGGAAGCTAGAACTGAGTGCTAGTTTTGATCTACTAACTGGCTGCCTCAGTTTTCTTATCTGCAGAATGTGGGGACTACATTTTCTCCCTGGTTGCTTCTAACTCCAAAATCCCATTTCTGTGCATTTTGGTTCATACATAATTTGTCGTATTTCTTCTTGTAAAGTGGTTGAAACTACTAATATTATTCATTAACTATATGTATTTTGTAGTCAGTCATTTTGTGTATCACAAAATTACATATTCACAAAGAACAATTCCAATGTTTAAACCTATATATATGATCCCCTTGCATTCCTTTAAAAAATAACTGGCAACAGTGAATCTAATGCTAAAATACCTAAGAATTTATATGTCAATTGTGCTTAGAATTTTAGTTTTCTATTTTCCATGTGTTTTATGTTTAGGTCTGCCTAGTGCTTAAGGAATAATACACATCAAAGTTCAGTTTTATTCTGACCTTTTCTTTTGTCTGATAGTCTGGAGAATTTATCATAGGAAAAGATACTGGGAGATAAATTGTTGAAATATATCACAAGGCCTTTCATATATTTTCTTTGTATGGATCAAGTGACTTTAGTTCTGTCTTTGAAACTTTTCTGAAAAAGGTGGCAAATTTCTAAGCAAAGGGACTATATGAAACTTTTAAAAAACTATTTCCTGTAAATTTTAACACTTCAACATTTTTTTCTGTTTTAAACTAATGATAAGGTAAACTATTGTTCAGTTGCCCATAACCCCTTAAACTAGATTTCTTTAGTTGTGAGAACTGTGGTATATGCTGTCATCTAATAACAATTGTTTTACTTAATTATAGTTCCTTACAAGCTATTTTTCCCTTTGAATGCTTTTCTTGCTATATAGGTTAGTACCACCACCCGAAGCACACAGAAGATGCTTATGTTTGCCTCCTGTCCAAGCAGAGTTTCCAGACTTTGTTTATTCAGTTAAATGGTGGGGGTCATAATGGAAGTCATGTTAGCTTTGTATATCTTATCGCTACAATAGTTTCAACTAACACTTCACCTCCAAACCCCAGGCTTAGAGAACATTGGCACTGACACTTCTCTTTTGTAAACAAAGGGAGACAAGAAGAGTCTGGTAAACAAAGTAAATGTAGAAGAGGCAAGAGAGCAATGAAAATGTCATGGTGTCACTTCATATTAAAAATAAACACAATAATACCTGATTAATTAGAAGACTATTCTATCTAAATTTTAGACTATTTAAAATAAGTAAAGTGTTACTTATTTAAAGTACCCTTCGCCAACAAAGAAATGCCCACTAGAAGTTTTTATGGGACAATTAATTATGGCCTCTTCCCTTGCCCCCTTATAAAAAAGAACTACTACTTTTCCTCTTACTGTGTACCCATAACAACATTGTGTGCTTTATTAGAGCACTTATTATATTCTCCCTTGTCATATATTCATTTGTGTACAATTTTAGTCTCCCCACTTAGGAAGTTTGAATATCATGTTCCTTTTTGTATTTTCTTATTTTTTCAAAGATTTTTAATTATTTATTTTTAATTACACAAACAATGCATGGATATGTTCAGGTTGTAAAAAATTCACACAATACGTATAAAATTAAAGTCTCCTCCAAGCAAAGAATGCTTTTTAACAACATTCAAATTTTAATTTTATATTTTTATTAAAAATTTTTAATGTTGACATTGCAGGTGTTCCCCTCCTCTCCCCTTTGGCCACCTCCACCCGCTCCTGTCTCGCCCTCCCTTGGCCTTCACCAAACTATTGTCCGTGTCCATGAGGTATACATATATGTTCTTGAGCTAATCCCTTCACCTTCTTTATCCAGTCACCTTACCCCCCCTTCTCCTGGGGCACCAGCCAGTCTGTTCCATGTGTCCATGCTTTCGGTTCCATTTTGTTTGTCAGTTTATTTTGTTCATTAGATTCTGCATATATGTGAGATCATGTAATACTTGTCTTTCTCTGGCTGGCTTATTTCACTTAGTACAATACTCTCTAGGTCCATCCATGCTGTTGCGAAGGGTAAGAGTTCCTTCTTTTTTTACAGCTGCATAGTGTTCCATTGTGTAAATATACCATAGTTTTTTTTATTCACTCATGTGATGGACACTTGGGCTGTTTCCAGATCTTGGCAATACACAGAAGGGTGCATTTATTCTTTCTGATTGGTGTTTCAGAATTCTTAGGATATATTCCCAGAAGTGGGATCACTGGGTCAAAAGACAGTTCCATTTTTTAATTTTTTTTAATATGTTTTTATTGATTTTTAAAGAGAGAGGAAGGAAAAAGAATAGAGAGATAGAAACATTGATGAGAGAGAAACATCATTGATCAGCTGCCTCCTGCATACCCCCCACCAGGGATCTAGCCCACAACCCAGGCATGTGCCCTGACCCAGAATCTAACCTTGACTTCTTGGTCCCGGGGTCAATGCTCAACCACTGGGACACACCTTCTAGGCTCCATAATAAATTTTTTGAAGAAACTTCATCCTGTTTTCCACATCTAACATAATGAATATTTATTTGAATATTTTTTCATTAGCTACTTAATCATTTTAGATTATTTTTAAAATTTATTTTTCGGTTATAGTTAACATACAATATTATATTAGTTTCAGGTGTAGTATAAAATGTAGTGATTAGACATTTATTTAGTCTTTTCTTTATCTATACCTTGCATTGTTAGTTTACACAGTAAGCTTTTGTCCACTATATAAATATTGTCTTCTTGTCAAAAACTGTAAATTTGAAATAAGTCATCAAAATTCACATAAGTATTTCTTTTCCATTTTGGTTTGAAGTTGCTTTTAATAGAAGAGTAGTTTGTTATTGTATTTACAAGTTATAGACTTTCAGATCTAAAAGGGAACTGATCCATTATTTTGTAGATAGATAAACCAAGGTGTGTAGAATTTATCTTGCCCATAGTCCGACACTAATCAGTGGTAGAGCTGGAAGTAATTATCAGTCCAATATTCTTTTCTGTTTACCACATGTTATGGAAGACATTCTAGAGGAAGTAAGGCTTTATTAGCCTGGCTTGTGTGGATAGATTGAGGAGAAAAAGGTCTATAACCCAACACTTTAATAATAGAAGGCTCAAAGGAAAGTTGTTATTGTTCACTCACTTATTTTCTATAATATTGGAAATTCAGTAAACTGAAGTTTACTACCACTTACATAATCTATATTGCAGAGCAGTTTTACAGTTAAAATATTATAATGAAATCCTCCTAGAGCTTCTAGTACCATAGCTTTCAAATACCTTGTGCCAAATTATATTAAAGAAAGACTACAATACATAAAGTAAGCTAGGGAAATACACAGGCAAATTCAATAATTAGAATTCTACTCTTAGATTTATAGTGAGGAATAAATTATTTGTTGTTACCTGTGATCAAGGCACAAAGTGTTAAGTATATATGGAACTGAGTAAGTATGAATTGTAACACATTTGACCAAATGAAATGCTTACAGTATAATTAATAATAAGTATGATAAAAATGGTTTATCTCAGTCACATGATTAAATGAATTATTAATCACTACTCTCTAAACTTAACTTGAATTTGCCACCTGAATACTATGAGAATATGAAATTGCTATTCTCCTGTATTCATGTAAGTTCAATGAATTTGGAGTTTTGTAGGCTTTTACTTAAAATAGGTATAAAAATAAGAAATCATTGAGATCTAGGTTAAATTACATTACTCAATTTTATTATTAATTTTTTTTTCAAATTATGTTATCTAACTAAATACCAAACTGATATAAGTGATCCTTCTTGTCATAGCTCAGTATCTTATTTTAAACTGGCCAGCACTACTATATCC